CAGCAGGTAAGCATGTCCAGCTTCAGTTTACCCCTCTGTATGGTGGGGGAGGGGTGACAAGGGGCTGTGGGCAGCCCACCCTGGGCCTCAGTTTACCCTTCTGTGCAGTGGGGGAGGGTGGCTATGATTGTGGGAAGAGTCAATGGTTTCCCAAAATTCACAAGGTAAGAAAAACTAAGAGCCTATCAACAATAGAAACAATATCACGGATTGTAAAAAACATAACAAAACTTCTTGCCGCTCAAATACTATCAATTCATTTGAGTGCATTTCTGAATTCTCTTCTAAAGCTATGAATTTTGACATTCTATACCAAACACGGTAGAGAGTTACGACACAATGTATTAATAACTAACATTTATATGGTGTTCACCATGTGCCGGCTTGTACTGAGCACTTTGCGATATTATGTCCTTTGACCCTCATAATGACCCTGGGAGGTAGGTGCCATCACTAGCCCACTTCACAGATGAAGAACGTGAGGCAAACAGGTGAAGTAACTTGCTTAAGGTCACACAGTTAACAAACTTCTGAGACCAGATCAGGACTCAGGTTTCCATGATAGGTGCAGTTTCCCAAGCATATTGCCTTAATGCCAGATAACAAATATACTTTGCATTAAATTCTGATTTACCAAAACATCTCACTTTAAATGAGACCACGATATGATTTAGTTTGGGAACAAACTCTAACCAGTTAGATTTGGATTTACGATCACTGATGGTAACCCCCAATGGCTCCACTTTCCCAAGGGCCATTCACTGCCCGTGCCTCAGACTTCAGAGGCCATCCACTGGTGTTAGTTAGCTCCCTGCCCAAGACTCATGTGGGCATTTCACATTTTCATTGCCCTATTGTTGGAACTCAGGGGGCTCGGAGGTTTGGGACACACCCTCCTCATGTCCTTCAAGGACAGAATTTTAGTAGGCTATGTTCGGATAATTTCCTGCTACAAATTTATTTCTATATTTTCCATATCATAAAGAATAACCATATATCATTCTTTGTATCATCTTATCTCAATGAGATTGAAAACCCCATCAAAACTCTTTTTCCAAACTTCACATCTTTACTTTCAAACCCTCCATTCACACACAGTGCAAACAGACTTCAACTTTCTACCTGTTCTCCTCTCATCGAGAATATTCACTCTCAGTATTAAAAACAAAGTACAGACTATTCTGTGTCCTCAGCCTAGCTCTGGTGCAGGTGGTGACACAGGGTGGTGGTGAGGCTGGCCAAAGGTGATGGGGGGGGTGAGGGTGGCAGTCCACATGGCAGCCAGTTTTAAGGGTACTGTGGTCTTTGCTTCTGAGAAATCCAGATTGGCTAGACCTGGCAGTCTTGGTTTGGAAGTTCCTCCCAACAGCACCAGTCATCCATTTTGCCCAGTCTGTAGATCTTCAGGTCTGGTTTTTAGCATACACAGCTAACAACAATCAAAGGCCCACATTTATCTGGCTAAAGGCCCTTCCCACAAGTCCTTGCTGAGCTTCCTTGCTTGAGTTTTGGACATTAACTGGCAGTTTTCCCTTGACTCAAGCTTTAAGAATTTGCCTAAGCGGGAATCTGCAGCAGGTTTAGCTTGATCTGACCCCACAATGATACCAGTATCCCCTTGACCTTTCTGTTCCTTGGCAAACTAGTGTTGGGCAGGACCATCTACTAAAGAGCCCTGCCCTTTATATAAGCAGCTTCCACTTTTCTTTGTGCACAAAGGAGAATCAATTTTGGGCTCAGGACTTATGCCTCTGGGAGCCCTTTTCTCCCTCCAGGGAGTCCCTCCCTCCAAGTTCACGTCTGGGTATGGTGTAGCCAGTAGACCCGTTGCTCCGTTTCTCAGCTGGGTTGCCTCTTTCCTGAACTAAGTCAAGCAGGTCATTTAGCATTACCAGACTCCTTACTAGGCTTGGTGGCTGACTCTGTTATTGACTGGAGCTGCTGGACAGAGCTCTGATGGCTCTTCTGACCCTTTGAAGTTCATAGAATTGTAACCAGTTATGTCTCCAAACACTCATCTGTAATGAGGAAAGAATAAACCTAAGAGACAGAGTTATGTGTTCACAACCACATGGCAGCCAAGTGAGGAGATAAGGCGGCCAATGTCACTGACTGGAGGTTCTCAGTTCTTTCTTTGCTCCCTCAGAAAGCTTCCAGGAAAGAGAGTGAGAGACTCCATTCAAACTTTTTTGTATGAGAACTCAGTTTTACCTTAGTGGCCAATTAAGAGGCTTTTGGTCATAGTAAACTGACAAGAAGCATGGAGTATGTTGGCACTCCCTTGAAGTGGGGGGGGGGGGAGGGAGAAGAGCTCCTTCCCTTCACATGTACCTGGAAGGAGTCTGGAAGGAGAAGCCTGCAAATGGATTGGAACCGAAGCGGCTCTCTCCAAGGAAGAGGCCCTCCTCACACTTCCAGGTATACTTGTCTTTCCACCTAAATGGAGATTTCTCGTGAGTAGGGAGTGTTTCTTTATCCTAGTATTCCTTAAACTCAGCACCTGGCCTGTGGCCTGTCACATAGTTGGTGCTTAATAAATACTGGTTGATTGACTGGTGAAATGGAGTCAGTTTCACTCTGTGTGATGATATTACTTGATGCTCCCCACATCTCATGCCTATCGATTCCTCGAGTTTGCGACGTTGGAGCATGTGAGGCGTCTGCATCATCTGCCAGTCTTTGCCTTCTCCCCTTTGCTTTCCCACCCATTTCTCCCTATTGGAGCTTTTCCCACTTTTGTGGTGAAGTCACCCAGGGTCAGAGTGACTGATTTGTTCAAACTCTTCCGAGGATTTCTCCCTACTTTGTCTTTAGTAACTGATGTTGCCGCAAAAACTGTGATTATTTTTAAGGTGTCTTTTTGCAAATGCCTATCATGAAATATTCATGATGAATCCTGCAATACCTGATGACCAAAATGTCCTGGGAAATAATACTTTTTCTCCAGGGGACATGTGTGTGAGAAATGCTAATAGTTTGGTTCCCACAGGATTGATAAGAAAACAGGACATTGATTGATTGATTAATTGATTTATTGGTTTACTCAAATACGTAAACAAGATGAAGGGAAGATCGGTTTTCACAGACTCTACAGAAACAAGATATTGCATTGCAAACGCAGATGTTAAATGGGACATGCAGGAATGTTGGGACAAGGGGGGGTTAAAGCCAAGTAATTCTACATAACTGCTTGCTCTGCTCCTATATAGGTGTGTGATTCCAATGAGGGAACACATCCAGTTCTCCAGAGAATTCGCTAATAAAGGTATCTCTTCTCTCACTCCACAACTGTGATTTCTTTATGACCCAGCTAACTCTTGTTTGGGGAATTCACTGAGCCTAGTCTCGGGCTGAATTCTGAACTGAGTCTGGGGTTTTTATAATATGTGGAACAAGAATGTGAAGAAGGAAGCGATTCAGCTCTCGCAACCATGCGTTCACTTCTTGGTCTTTGGACAAGGATTTCACATTTAAAGGACCAACTATGTTGGTCATGTTTGCTGTAATTCTTGGCCCCCTCGACTAAGCCCCTTTCCCGCCAGTCATCACAGAAGTGGAAAGGGCCTGCACGGGTCTGAGGGCCATGTAAAGATCCTCTTTCACCTGTAGTTGTGATCAGCAGGTCCACTGGCCCATGTGCTTCTCTGAGATTGACAGCCTGGTCCTTGGAACACAGATTTGGATGTTCCAGGGCCCATCCTCCTGGAAGACTCGGCATTTTGGTAGAAGCTGCCAGAGGCTGGGCTTCACTGGCAGTCTTCGGTCACCTCCATGCTATGAAGAAGCATCAGAGTGGGACTTCTGTGGATGTAAAGTACAAACTGGCCCTTACAAAGATCACATGGGCTTTTTGGGCAGCTTCATCAGGCTGGTAACTTGTAGTGAGCTTGCTGTCCACTTAGACCCCCCCCCCCCAGATCTTTTTCTAGATGAATTGTGCAGCTAGCCAGCCAGGTGGTAGAGTTTCTTTGCTTAACACAAATGCAGAATCCCACCTCCAAGCCTCGCTAGCTGTCACACGAGTTTCCATTTTCTCAGATGTAACATGGGGATGATACTGATAACTATCTCACAGGTGGGGTATCATTCGTGGAGACCTTCAAACAAGGCTGGTGAAGCGGGTAGAGAGCTGAGCTCACAGTCACGGAGACTGGGGGATTTCTCGGGGCCTCGGAGCGACGGAATGGTAAGAGGGACGGTGCAGGCTATCAGGTGCAACCTTATCCTTTCACAGATTTGGAAACTGAGGCCTGAGAGGTGGAGTCACTCGCCCGAGGTTCTGCCGGTCCAGCCTGCCCTCCTCCCCGCCCCCACCCATTTTACAGACGAGGCCACTGAGGCTCAGAGAAGTTGGGTGACCCGCCCCAGATCACAGCGGCAGCCCAAGGCTTGGATGAGGTGGGGAGAGAGGCGGCCCAACCTCCTTTCTGGAGCGCCGCCCCGCCTCCTCCGGCCCCGCCCGGGCAGGCGTCAGTTTCTCGCCCACATCCATTTCAGCCTAGCCGGCTCGCGCCTGCGCCCTAGGCTCGCGGGTTGGCCGAAGTTGGTGGCGGGAATCCCGGAGGGCCCAGGGGCGGGGCTTCCCCGAACTCCAGCGCTCGCCCTCCCTCCTCCCGGCTTCTCTGGGGCGGGGGCAGCGGCTCTGGCGCAGGCGCGGGCGCAGGCGCAGGCGGAGCGCGGCGCGGCGGGGCGGGGCGGGGAGGGGCCACTGCCCGGATTTCATCAGCCGGGCCGAGCCGCGCATGCTTACGCGCCTGCGCCCTGCGCTCTCTCCGCGCCCCCTCCGCCCCCTCAGGTCCATGCACCCGCGCCGCGCGCTGCTTCTGCTGTTGCCGGTGCTGCCGCCGGTGCTGCCGCCGGTGCTGCCGCCGGTGCTTCCGGCCCTCAGGCGAGTGCGGCCCCCGGCCCCGCGCCCCCAGCCCCGCGCCGCAGGCCCCGCTCCAGCCGGTCTCTACTCCTCCTCCTCCTCCTCCTCCTCTTCCTCCGCGGCCTCCTCCAGGGCGCGACCGCCCGGCCGCAGCATGGACGGAGCCCAGGCCCAGGCTGAGGCCGCGCTCGGCCCTTTCCGCCTGGCCGTGCGGCAGCAGGTAAGCGCGCCCGGCCTCGGTTTACCCCTCCGTGTGGTGGGGGAGGGGCGGCCGACCCCGGCCTCAGTTTACCCCTCTGCGCAGTGGGGGAGGGCGGCTGTGATCGTGGGAAGGTCCTCGTCCTCCTGGGCTCTGGGAGCTGGGCTGCACGGACTCTGAGATGCTCTCCAGCCCCAGGTCCGGGAGCTTCTGATCAGTCTCTCTGAGCCTCGGTTTCCCCTTCTGTCATACCGGTGCGTAAGGTGGGATCGGATGGACCCGGGGGCCTTTGGGCCCGATTCCTTGACTCTTTCTGTGAAGTCGCTTCGCTGCGCGGCCCTCAGTTACCGCCCCTGGAAAGTGACACGACCCTCCCCCCGCCAGTGACCTCTGGAGCCTTGCGTGACCCGGGACCAGATGGACCCCACGGCCCCCCCTGCCCTCTTTGTGCTTCCTTTGCCAGAGGTTCCCCCCGCTCCCTGCACCCCTCAGATCATCTCCGGCCTCTGGGCTCCCCGGGAATCCGCCCCAGGGTTCTGTGACCTTGTGGCCTCTCTGGATGACCCGCCCCGTCTGCCCTCCTTCTGCCTTTCTCTGCTAGTTGGTGGAGGCTGCCCGGGTGCCCGTCAATCAGCACGCATTTGTTAGGCGTCCCCTGTGTGTCTAGCCTGGTGCTGGGCGCTGGGGCTGCCGGGAAAGAGCAAACCAGGGGCTGCGGGTCAGGAGCTAGGGGGAGGGCTGGCCTCAGGACTTCTCCTGCCCAGATGGAGAGAGCAGCCAACCCGCAGTCCAGGCAGGGATGCCCAGATGTGCCAGGCTTGCTGGAAATCAGGCTGAAAAAGGTGTGTACCAGCATGGTCCCTGAAAACGGATAGCCTCCCATCTGCCTTTCTCTCTCTCTCTCTCTCTCTCTCTCTCTCACACACACACACACACACACACACACACACACACACGCACACACGCACGCGCGCACACACACGCACACGCGATTGGACTTAGATGCATGTGTACACATATGTGCTTCATGCACACGTGCACCCTTTTTGGAATCTAATCTAGAGGTCAGGAATAAGGGCATTTTTCAATTCCCAGTTGAAAGTATGAATTTGGAGGATTGAGAGAAAGAAATGTTTTTGTGCTTTGGGGGCAGAGAAGTCAGGAGTTTGTTGTGGGTGGGGCCAGGAGGGATCATGGGTCTGGATTCTGTGTGGCAACTCCTGGTGTGCCAATTATCAGTAATGATTGATGAATAACTCCTCTTCAGTGGAGAGTTGGCACACTGAGGCTGTGACTTGCTCAGAGTTATCTACAAGCATTTATTAAGTGCCTTCTGTGTGCCAGGCCATATGCTAAGCTCTGAGGATATAACAAAAGGCAGAAATCAGTTTTTGCAAACAACTGCGTATATGTAACAAGGGATAGATGAACTCTATTGGAAATCATCACAGAAGGAAGACAGTAAGCTTGAGGAGGACTGACCAAGCCTTCTTTGAGAAGAAGGGACTTTAGTTGGCACTTGAAGGAAGCCGGGGAAGTCAGTAGCATAATGCCGGGGGCTAAGTGATGGAGATGAAGATGAAGGAGACCAGGGTTGCTATTGCAGAATACCTAGGGGTTAGGAATGAGGCGGGAAAGTTAGGAAGGGGCCAGCTTTCGAAGGGCTTTGAAAGCCAAACAGGATTTTATAATTGATTTTGAAGGTAATAGGGAATCACTGGAGTTTATTGGGTAGGGAGGTGACATGGTCTAATCTGTGCCTTGGGTGACTAATTGGAGGATGGACTGGAGTGGGGAGAGACTAGAGGCAGGCAGGGACCCGCCATCCCCCATTACCCTGCAGCTATTGAAATGATCCAGGTGTGAAGTGATGAGGGCCCGAACTAGGGTGGGGGGGAGAACTAGGGTGTCAGAGGAGAAAAGGGTGCTATTCCAGAAATGCTGCAGAGGTGAAATTGAGGAGAGGTGAGAAATGTTGGAAGAGTTGAAATCAGTGATTGATGTTGCACAGGGGAAATTGAGGAGAGATGAGAAAAGTTGCAAAGGTGAAATTGAGGAGAGATGAGAAAAGTTGCAAAGGTAAAATTGAAGGTAGATGTTGCAGAGGTGAAATAGATGATTGATATTGCAGAAGGAAATTGAGGAGAGATGAGAAAAGTTGCAAAGGTAAAATTGAAGGTAGATGTTGCAGAGGTGAAATAGATGATTGATATTGCAGAAGGAAATTGAGGAGAGATGAGAAAAGTTGCAAAGGTGAAACTAAAAATAGATGTTGCAGAGGTGAAATTGATGATAGATGTTGCAGAGGTGAAATTGAAGGGAGATGTTGGCAGAAGTGACATTGAGGAGAGATGTTGCAGAGGTGACATTGAAGGGAGATGTTGGCAGAGGTGACATTGAGGAGAGATGTTGCAGAGGTGACATTGAGGAGAGATGTTGCAGAGGTGACATTGAAGGGAGATGTTGGCAGAGGTGACATTGAGGAGAGATGTTGCAGAGGTGACATTGAAGGGAGATGTTGGCAGAGGTGACACTGAGGAGAGATGTTGCAGAGGTGAACTCCACAAGCCTTGTCAACAGCTTGAATGTGGAAGGTGAAGGGGAGTTGAGAATGATATTGGTGATAATTGTGATCCTGGTAACTGGGACGATGGTGGTGCCCTTGATGTAATACAAACATTAAGAAAAGAGGAGGGTTTGAGGGTGGTTGTTGTGAAGGGCAAACAACAACAGTAATTTAGTTGAAGATGTCAGTGGGGCCTTTCAAAGATGTTCAATAGGCATTTGGAGATTGGAAGAGACTTTTGGGCTGAATAAGTAGGGGTGTGTGTGTGTGTGTGTGTGTGTGTGTGTGTGTGAGAGAGAGAGAGAGAGAGAGAGAGAGAGAGAGGGAGAGAGAGAATGGTCTGGCTCCTAGCCCTTCCCTCTTTCCACTGTACCAAGCTAATTTTTTGCCCACCTCAGAAAGGAAGATTTTGGAATTATTTAAGTTACCATGCAGTGAATGGCCTATGTGAATAGATGCCTTTTTAGAATCAGAATTGAGTAAGGGGATTCAATCCCATCCCCAGTCTTGCCTCTGGAAACAGCTAGGAAAATGTGTTTAGTTTGAAGTGGATGCACGCGTTCAGTCAGATTCATTTAGGACCAAGCCTCAAACTGGTTTCTCCTGCAGAGGTGCCTGATGCAATAGTTTCTGCCTCAGTCTAATAGCAGGGTGGGTCCTCTGGAGGGCTCAGAGCAGCAGGAGGCAGCACTGCCCTGCTGCAGCCCGGTGCCTTCTCTCGCTGGGCAAGGTTTGGGTCTGCAGCCTTCCTGGTGGTCCCTTTTTCCTTTCTTTAGATTGGTGTCCAAGGCAGTGGGGGACACACCCTTCTCTAGCACTTGGCGTTGCTGCATCCCCTCCGTCAGAAGAGGTATTGGCTGCCCCACATTTTGCTGTGGTTTCTGTAACTCTCAACTTTTCATTCTCCTCTCTTTGGAAACGAGGCATTTTTTTTTTGAAGTTCTATTCCATTTAAACCCCTCCTCCTGCCACGTTAGCCTGGGACTGCAATGCAGACCAGCTGTTTGGGCAAAACCAGTTACCTAAAATGAAAGGAATTGAGTAATACTTGTCCACTGGGGAGAAAAATTGAAATGCTGAACTTTTAAAAGAAGCACATTTGTTCCATAATTTGTTGGTTCTATTAAACGTCCCAACCTTCTCTTTTAAAGACAAATTTTCTGAATGAGGAATTTGACTTAGCAGCGTCTGCTCTTCATAATTATTGCCTTGACCAGCCGGTTATGTAAGTGGGGAGTTTTTGTGTCTCTTGACTTTGTTATGTCCCTGGTTGGTAAAGTATGGCCAGTTAGGATGTTGACTTTTTTCTTGTTGCTTTTTTCCATTTGGAGGCCTTAAATGTTCTCTCTCTCGTAGAGAACTGCGGCCGCTTCTCTCCACAGATGCGAGACTGAGGCTGAGGCCTAGGTTGAGAATAGGTGGGACCTCACAGGCCCAGACAGATAAAGTGCTTTGGTGGAGTGAGGAGTGAACCCGTGACCCTGAGGCTCCTTCCGTGTACCATTCGTTGGTTTAGCTATTAAGGGGCCTGGAGAAGAACTCTGATTGCATCCCGGCTCAGACTTCCCCCAGCCTCAGTTTCCTCATCTGTAAATGGGGATCATAAGAACACCTGCCCCCTATGGTTCTCGGAAGGGGCGCTGAGCTGGTGAGTGGGAGGATACCCAGAGGCAGCAGGGACTCCATGGAGCCTTCCCGTTGGGCGAGTCATGCCTCATCCTTGGGGGAAGGAGTCCAGCCAGGGCTCGGGTGCCGTGACACATGTAAAGCAATGCACAGTGTACAGTTTTGTCCTTAATTGTGAGTCTGAGGAAGAGTTGCTACCGAAGTCTGAGGAGATGAGGGCTCGTTAACGGAGGCAGACCTCGGAGGGAAGACTCGGATTGGAGCGCCGTGGAGGCAGAGAACAAATCCAGAAAGAGAAGTTTTGAGGGATGGGACACTGAGGTGACAGGGCATGACCCAAGGAGCCGTCCAAGGGCAGTCTGTTAGCCAGTCGGAGCGTGGGTCTGAAGCTCCTGCTGTGCGCTGGCGATCACAAGGACTGGGCCTACCCGGGTTCTGCAGGGAGGCCTGGGGGAGGTGGCTCATCTTGGAGCTGCTGCCAGATCCAGGCCTCGCGGAGATGAACCTCTGGATTTCGATGGCCGGTGAAGCTGGGCAGGCAGCGTGGTGTAGCCCCTGGGAAGTCCTGATGAAAGATGCTTGTTAGCGGACCCCGAAAGGAGCCGTAACCAGGGTGTGTGCCTTGCTGTGCCCTCCTTGCCTGCCTCCCCTAGCCTGAGCGCTGAGATGCCCAACAGGGACTGAGCCTGGCCCGCTGGGATGGAAGCAGAAGATACTGCTGACTCTCATCCCCTCCCCTCCTCTCCCCAGGGAGCCATCCCTTATAACACAGTACCAGGAAGAAAAGGACAAAAACGAGTTTAGAGCATCCCAGCCTGCCCGTGCGTGGGACGCTCCTTACCCATAGGCTCCCGCTTCTATAGAGAAGGCGGGTGGATTTTCTGATCATGAGGACTTCCCTGCTCTTCTGTTGCCTTTTTCTGGGTTCAACTACAGGTCCATAAGCATTGGTGGAAAGCCAGGCCCTAGGCATACAGAGACACAGATAAATGAAGCCACCCCTGCCCTCCAGGACAATGAGAGCCCAGGCCCTTAGAGAAGAGGACCCATCTGGGGAGGAAAGGCATCATTGCAGGGAGTTCGGGAGGAAACATCCTTGCTGCCATTTCTGTAATACCTTAGGGATTGCAAAGCACTTTGCATATGAGGCTGCTAAGTGGTGCCATAGTGCATAGAGCGCTTGGCCTGGAGTCAGGAAGACCTGAGTTCAAATGTGGCCTCCCACACTTATTAGCTGCGTGACCCTGGGCAAGTCACTTCACCCTGTCTGCCTCAGTTTCCTCATCTGTAAAATGAACTGGAGAAGGAAATGGTAAACCCCTCCAGTGTCTTTGCCTAGAAAACCTCAAAAAGGGTCATGAAGAGTCAGATACAACTGAAAGCGGCTGAACAACTGCAAAATGAAATGGCCTATGTGATCTCATCGGATCCTCACAAAACCCTGGGAGGGAAACTGAGTCTGCACTATCTGACTGAGGCCAAGGTGGGGAGGGAGTGCGGGGGCGGAGCAGGAGACTCGGTGTTTTTTGTGAAGAACATCAACACGGCCTGTTTGGACCACAGTGTCCAAGTCTGGAGAGGCAGGTCGGGCCCCGCCAGACTGAGGAATTTATATCTGATCCCCAAAGATGAGAGCGGACCGTGGAATTTATTGAGTAAGACGGTGAAGTGACCGCACTCTGGCCCCTGGACTGGAGTTTGTGAGGGGCCTGAAGAAAACTGAGGGGTGCCAGCATCGTAATGACCTGAGCAGCAGAAGTCGGGGTGCTCGGAGGAAGAGAAGGTTTGGAGGGAAGAACAAGGCCGCTCAGGGATGCGTCTCTGCCGCAGTCCAGGTCCTAATGCAGTCAGCGATGGAGCCCTGGAGCCTGGGAACCACCGCTGTGCAGGAAGGGTCCCTGAGGCTGTGGAAACCCCCAGGAGAAGGTCCAGCGTGCAGAGAGCCATCGCGGCTGGCCCCCGCTGAGTGGTGATCGCAAGGCGCAGCTGTGGGAGCTCGCATCCTGGGAGGAAGGGTTAGAGGAAGGGTCCTCTGGGTTTCAGGGCCCGGCTTTGTCTGCTGAGGGTGGACGTTTCTTGGCCGAAACCCTACTGCGGTGAGCTCTCTTTGTTGCTTTTCTTCCCTTGGGTGTCTTTGAAACCTGTGTCCCTGACTCATGGCCATTGTCTTTTAGTCTCTCTCTGGCTTCTGAGAATGAGGCGGGAGGCTCCCTCTCCTGACCAGGCCCGGCATCGCTCCCTGGGTTTTGGCTGTGCCTCGTCCGTCGCTTCCAGAGGGAGGCGGTGAGGGTAGCAGCGCTGCCCCATGGGGGACATTTCCTGTGTCCCACATCCTCGTGTCCTTTTCTGTTGGCCACGCGTCTCTTCTTGCGGTCTGTGCCTTCCCTCTCCTGGTACAAAGGGGTGTTTGGGGAGCTCTCCCCATCACTGTCTTCTTCTCCCTTAACTGCAAACACATCAGTTGTGACTTGGGAATGCTGGACTTCGGAAGCCGAGCTCAGCTTCCCCCCGGGCTCTGCCCCAGTCCCTAATGTCAGTCACTCAGCTCACTCAAGGAAGGGGGCTGCTTGCTGCTCTCCCCTGTCCCCCTGCTCAGCGGAGGGCACGTGTCGTGGCGCCTCTTGGACGATGTTTGTGGGTTGGAATTGTCATTGCTGGTCGTGACAGGACAGCGGAATCGTCCTCTGTGGCTCTTCAGATTCAGGGGTGATTTTCAGCCAGGCTCTTTAAAAGGAAGAGGACCGGTCCTTGTCGGTGCCGTCCTGCAGAAGCCTTTCCCGTGTCTTTCCTGGCTACCCTTGGTTCTCTGTGTCCTTTAGGGGGATCTGGTGAGAAAGCTGAAAGAAGACAAAGCCCCCCAGGTCGATATCGACAGAGCTGTGGCAGAGCTCAAGGCCCGCAAGAGGATTTTGGAGGCCAAGGTGAGGGGGCAAGCAGTCCCTCCTGTCCAGGAGCTCACTGCTAGTTGGGGAGGGAGTGAATCAGTGCAGAGCAGTCACACAGGTCCTTTGGGCGGGCGAGCCGGTATCCACCCACACAAGGTGGTGTTAGCTACTCTGGGCATGGGTGATGCCACGGCAAAGGTGTGGAGGTGGGAGATGGAGGGTCCTCTGTGTGGGGGAGGGGTGACCATCTGAGAGGCCCTGAGGGCTTTGTATGGGGTGAGGGTTTCCTTTTATTCTGCTCTGCTTTAGTTGGCCGGGGGCGGGGGAGGGAGGGAATGGATTATAAATGCAATTACATAGAAGTTAAATCAGGGCTTATGTTTTCACCTCCAGGCTCTAGGGAGTCAGGGGAGTGACCTGGTCAGGTCTGCAGGTCAGAAGAATCCCTTTGGCCACAGAGTGGAGGATGGGCTAGGGGTTGGGGGGGACAGTCAGAGGCAGGGAGGCCAAGGAGAAGGTTACAGGGCACGGGGAGGTGTGTGAAGAGGAGGGGCCATGGGGGGTGCAGAATTAGGGAGGTATGGAAGACAGGAAGGTTGATGCCCTCAGCTTCTGACAACTGGCTCTGGGTGTATGAGGCTGGTGGGGATTTGGGCCCAAAACTCAGAGGGGAGGCTGGGCCCAGCTGTGGGGACAGAGTCAAGAACTGAAGAGGGTCCCCAGGGAGAGAACAGAGGGCCTGGGACAATGAGGGAAGGATGTGGCTGAGAAGCCAGCAGAGGGGCAGGAGCAGGAACAGTCAGATGGGGTGGGGGTGACCCAGGAGAGAACATTCGTGGAAATCAAGCTGAGGGGAGGGTGACAGACAGTAGCAGAGGGTGAGAGAAGACTGAACACACGTGGTCGGGGCCTTTGGAGAGCACATTCTGTTGAGTGATGAGATTGAAAGCCTGGTTACTAGGGGCTGGGGAACGAGTGAGAGGAGAGTGGGTGGAGGCAGCCAGTGTAGATGACTTTTAAAGAAGTTTGGCTGAGAGAGGAGAATGGGGGGGCGGGGATGTAGGACCTAGCAAAGGCTCTTCAGGGAGAAGAGAGATTCAGCAGAGAAGGAGCTGTGGAGAGGAGGAGGGATGGAGGACCGGCCTGCCGAAGAGGCTTGGGGTGGGGCAGCTGTCCAGGGCCCCTGGGCAGGATCTGGTGTGGGGGTGGAAGAGGCGGTGAGGACAGGGAGGGTGCACTAAAGAGGCTGGGGTGGGTGGGCGGAGCGTAGGACGCTCGCAGAGGGAAGAAGAAAAGGTTAGGAATTGTGGGGGGTCAGGGGGGCCCAGGGCCTGCCTGGGGCCCGCACAGGCTTGCTGAAGGTGGGACTTCCTCCAGATTTGTTCGTCCCTGTGTGTATGGAAGCGGGGAGCCCTGGGAGGCTTGGCTGAGGTGGCAAGGGAGAAGGGCCCCGGACTGGGGAAAGAGGGGTTCGAGAAGAGAGGACAGACTCGAGCTGGAGAGGGAGGAGAGTGACCTCAGGCCCAGGGTGATGGCTGGAGGAGACGGTCCTGAGCGGGGTCCAACAAAGCCAGGGGGTCAGGGAAGGCGGTGCGCATTTAGCAAGCCCCTACTGTGTGTTGGGCCCTCTGCTAAGAGCCTGGGAGAAAGTGACCAACTTTCCTGGTTGGTCAGGAAAAGAAGGGGCCAGCCTCCCAGCCGGGCCCAGGGACTGGGGCTCCACAGATGCAACAGCGCTCTTTAGTGCTTGACCAAGGCCAGTCTTATGCCCAGTAAATGTTCACAAAAAATCCTGATCCCTTGTGGGTGTGTGCCTGCAGTTTGGCCCAGTGCTCACGGCTCTGTGTTGTTCCTTTCCCCCCAGGAGTTGGCGCTGCAGCCCAAAGATGACATCGTTGACCGCGTTAAAATGGAGGACACCCTCAAGCGGAGGTTCTTCTATGACCAAGCCTTCGCCATTTACGGAGGTGCGGGATTCACGACAGCTCCCACGGAGTCTGCTCCGTGCTGGTGCTCTGGGTTTGGAATTGGGGTGTAATGGCCAATCCAGTTCTTGTTTCTTGAGTTGCCTGCTGGTTTCAAGCTCGACTCTTTGACTTGGGGATCCCCAGGGCCCTTCCCGAACAGGAGTCCCTCTGTCCTTCCCCACCAACCAGACCTGGGGTCTCTCCACTTGAACTGTTGTCTTCTAGTTGCCTCGGGCCTGGAATTGGCTCAGCTCTGAGTGTCGTTGGGGGGTTCTGCTCGGGGCCCTGGATCTCGGACTCCCTTTGGATCCTGGTTCTGTTGCCAGCATCCATTGATGTAGGCCTTTGTCCAAGATGTGCGGGCCCAGTTCTGGAGGGTCTGGTTCTCTGGCCATTCCAGGCCCGCCTCCTGTCTTGTTCACAAGGTTGCACTAACCTGCACACGGATTAGAAGGGCTCTTCTGTCCTCAGCACTAGATTTCTTTCCGCCATGACAGTGGAGGGAGGATTGGGGGGCTGGGGTGAAGGCTGCCGTGGGTAATGCTGAAGCCCCTGCTTGGGCAGTCTCCAAACCAAGGAGTGTGTGACAGGCTGGGTAGGGGGCACAGTGTGTGTGTGGGGGAGTCTTTTCTCTTTTTTTTAATCTCTGTGGGTGCCATGAGCTGTCACCACGTGCTTAGGAGGGAGAGCCAGATGCAGGAATCCGTGTAAGGACAGCGCTTTTGTGATGACCCCACGGTCAGTCTCACCAAGCCAGGGACTCGAGGTTTGAACTCGAGAATTAAACAGCACTGTTGCATCTGCAGAGCGCCAGGATGACAATTTAGCTTAACTACCAGGAAAGTTGATCATTTCCTCCCAAGCTCTTAGCAGAGGGCCCGGCACACAGTAGGTGATTACTAAATGCGCACCCCCTTCCCTGACCTCCAGGCTCCACTCAGGACCGTTTCCTCCAGCCATCACTCCGGGCCTGAGGTCACTCTCCTCCCCCTCCAGCTCAAATCTGTCCTCTCCTCTCGGACCCCTCTTCCCCACCTGAGGCCCCTGTCCTCTTGCCACCTCAGTGTTGATTCGAGGTGTCCACGCTGGCATTGGAGACATTGATGCTGAAGCTTCCAGAGCAGAATCCTCATTCACTTCTTCAGCAGGGTGACATAGAGGGGCAGAACCCTGGGGTCTGTAGGACAGGGAGCTGAAATGCGGCCTCTTAGGGGCATCTAGGTGGCGCCATGGATAGAGCACCAGTCCTGGAGTCAGGAGGACCTGAGTTCAAATGCAGCCTTAGACACATAACACTCACTAGCTGTGTGACTCTGGGCCAGTCACTTAACCATAATTGCCTAACCAAAAAAAAAAGAAAAAAGGGTATGAAATGTGGCCTTCTTTGGCACATGGCAGCAAAGCCCCCTTCCCGATGTCTGTCTGTCCTCACTGCAGGTGGAGCCTCGGCCCCGTGGGGTCGCCCCCCGGGGCTCTGGCCTCGCAGGGACAGCCTGCATTCCTCCCGTCTCGCTTTCCTCCCCCAGGGGTCAGCGGCCTCTATGACCTGGGGCCTGTGGGGTGCGCCCTGAAGAATAACATCGTCCAGCTGTGGCGGCAGCACTTTATCCAGGAGGAGCAGATCCTGGAGATCGACTGCACTATGCTCACCCCGGAGCCCGTTCTCAAGTACGTGCCCCTGGGCCGGCTATGGGGTGGCTGGCAGACCGCCGAGATCCTGGGAGCGCCGTGCCTCTGCGTGGGTGCTGCTGGGCTTGGCGCTCACTTAGCAAAGAGGAAGTTATGAGAGGGGCATAGATTTAGAGCCAGGAGGGACCTCGGGAGCCAGGGAAGTCTGGCCTCATTCTACAAAGGAGGAAACTGAGGCCCACAGGTCACACCAGCAGTCAGGAGCTGAGGCAGGATTGGCAGTCGGATCCTTGTGATGCCAGATCTGGCACCTTGCCCCCAGCTACCTGAAAAGGGGGAGGGCTTCCTGCTGGGCATGTGCGTTCCTGGTAGAATTAGTATTGGGTGTCAGCTGCCCAGAGCTCAGCCCCAGCATGAAACGGCACATTTGGTAAAGAAGTACCAGCGGACGCCAGCCCGCAGAAATGTTTCACCCCCACGGCGGGTTCCCTTGTCTCCCGCCTCTCAGCTCATAGCTGAGTCAGGAACACCCGCCCTTGGGGGCGCGTGGGCTTCAGCTGGACACTTGCTGTTGCAGGACATCCGGCCACGTTGACAAATTCGCTGACTTCATGGTGAAAGACGTGAAAAGTGGAGAATGTTTTCGTGCTGATCATCTCTTGAAAGGTGGGGTTTCTGTTTCAGACGACTAGCCTTCCCTGCTTGGGGCTCCCACAGGCCCAGGCGCATGCGAAGGTGTCGGTGCTCCCCCTTTCATTTTCCGAAGGCTTATGTGGGGAGTTAAAGCACAACCCAGTGCGTTAAACGAAACGGCTGCCTTTCAAACGAAATTGTCATTTTTTATTTTTTGCGATTGCATTTGTTAGTGTCTCCTGAGTCTTCCTACCAGAGAGCCGTCTTACGGTAGAGAATAAAAGCTGGAGTGCAGAGTTTGGCAAAGCGTCAGGTGTAGTTGAGTGACTCTGACGTATGCCCTGTTCCACACCCATAGTCTTCCACCTCTGCCCAGAGGTGGCACGGGGGAAAGTGCCTTCCATCTTTTCTAAGCTTGGTCATTCTAATTTTTTACCATTTAATTTTGCGTAATTTAATTTACCATTTAAATGTGGGCTAAATGCTTAGTGTGAGTGCCAGGCTCTGCTGCTGCACTCCGTCCTGCCCGTCTTTCCATCCTGGAAGGCCGAGGGTCTCGTCCCCTGGGAGCTGTCCTGGAGTGACCCAAACCAGGCATCCCAAAGGGTGGCCGCATTCATTGTTAGGCCAGCCTGCGCTTTCCCGGAGTATGGCACGGGACCCCAGGCAGGAAGGCTGAGTGCACCTTCTCCCTTCACAGCTCACCTGCAGAAATTAATGTCTGATAAGAAATGTTCAGCTGAGAAAAAGTCTGAGATGGAAAGCGTCTTGATCCAGGTGAGTGCTCTGGAGAGCTCCCCGGTGGGCGGGCTGGGCCTGGGCCCTGCTGGGAGGCTGGCCCCTCCTTGTGAGCATAGCCAGGACAAGGGCAGCTTCTTGTGCTCCATTCCTGTCCTTCAGGGCCTTGCCCTGTATTGGCTCCCTGACATGGTGACCTCTGGGCCTTCCCTGGAGGACCTTGGAGCATTTCAGGCAGCTGGGGCTGCCTCCTGCTACACCCCCTAGTCACTCTGTAGGGTGGGAGGGGGCTTTTCAGCCCCTTTCTCTCTTACCCATGTTTTCCTTCTGGGCCCACCGACCCTTGGTAGAGAAACTGTGTCTGTAAAACTTAGCCCATGCAGAGGTGGCTAGCTGCCCTCACGGAGCTCCCGTTCTAACATGGGAGACAGTAGGGTCAGTGGGTGGGCAGCTGTCGGCCCCACTTACCCCTCAGCCTCTGGAGTAGTGCTGTCCGTCCTCTGCTTCGGGGATGTGACCTGGTAGCTGTGGGGAGGGTCGTCCGAGGAGCTTAGAGATTCGGGGCTGCGGGAGATGGGAGGGGGGTCTGAGCTGAGGTGACTGGCAGCCTTGAGGGTGGGGGGGGGGAGTCGAGAGAAGCTTGGAGACAGGCCACGTGACTTCGCCGTTGCCTGGCTCTGAGTGACAGACAGTCCTCGTGGGAGGGGGTTGGGGGGCCGCTGGGACATTCAGTTCAGGGTGTCTGTCTTCAGGAAGCCGGTGCTGCAGGCCTCTCCCTCAGGAAGGACACTGGGGCTGCCCGGGTAGGGCGTGGAGTCCATAGGAGCTGGGGGACACTCTCAGTTGAGTGGACCCCCGATGGGGATCCGAGCTGAGAGAGGGTCAGAGAGGGGAGTCTTGTGAGGTCGTGGGGTCATGGGCCAAGGAAAGCCTTTTGTCTGCTGGCTGCTGAGATCGTTGCTCACCCCTGGAGAGATGAAGTCAGAGGCGCGTGGAAAGGGCTTTGTGGGCTGACGTGGTCCTTCTCCCTTTCCTGCTGGGGCTCTCTGAGGGAGGTGCTCCCCACAGTGAGGGCTCGCGGTTTTGGAGCTTGTTCGCGGTGTCCCCAAAGTCTCCGTGCAGTTTGGGGCGCCCTGTGTAGACCATCTCATTTGACCCTCACAATGGCCCTGGAAGGAAAGTGCTGTTGGGATCCCCATTTTACAAATGGGACAACTGAGGCTGGGAGGTCTGATGCAGGATCCCTCAGTAGCTGCCTTTCTCTGTGTTTGGGTGCTGGGAGAGCCGGGCGGCCGCCAACAGCAGTAGTTGGGGGTCGGCGGGGTGCGCTGGTCAGGTGAAGATGCTGTGGTGGGTGATGGGGTCAGTGCTCCTCGTGTTTGATGGGAAGCGGCCACAGCCATTTCACGTTGGTGCCGCGGGTTTCCTGATATTCCTAACGTTCCTTTTCCTGCTACTGAGGCACGCTCCGGGGTCCCCCGAGGCACGCTTGTCGCTTTGTCGCCAGATTCCTTTCTCTGCCACTTCGCGGGCTCACTTGTTTGTTAGGCAACAATTCAGTCGCGTGGCGAGCACTCAGGAACCGCGACTGGGATTGCGGGCGGGAACAGGATACGGTCCTTCTCCGCGACAGCTGACTGGAATCCTGGGGGGGGAGTGTGCTGTCTGGCGGTGTGTGGGGGTTGTTCAGACGGGCTTTTACACTGACCGCTGTGCCCTTGTGTGCCTCGACAGCTGGACAACTACGGGCAGGAGCAGCTCGCGGACCTCTTTGTGAACTACAGTGTCAAGTCCCCCCTGACTGGAAATGACCTGTCCCCCCCTGTGTCGTTCAACTTAATGTTCAAGACCTTCATCGGGCCTGGAGGGAACATGCCTGGGTATGTGACCCTGCCCCGAGGCCGCATGCGGGGGGCGCACAGGCCTCGCGGTGCGCCTGTGACCCTGAAACCAGGCTCCGTCTCACAGTGACCTGGCCCAGGAAGCCCAGGGGCAAGGCTCCCAAGGCTGGCTGGGGGACCCCGGGCGTGCGTCTGTGTGTGTGTTTGTGTGTGCATGCATGAGTGTGCATATGTGTGAGTGTGCGTGCGTTTGTGTGCCTGTGTGTTTGTGTGCATGAGTTTGAGCGTGTGTGCGTGTGTTTGTGTGTGCATGTATGAGTGTGTGTGTGTGCATGTATGAGTGTGCATATGGGTAAGTGTGCGCGTGAGTTTGAGCATGCGTGTGCACGTGTGTTTGTGTGTGCATATATGAGTGTGGATGTGTGTGTGTGCATGTGTGTTGTGCGTGTGTGTGATTGTGCATGTGTGTGTGAGTGTGTTTGTGTGTATGAGTGTGCATATGTGTGTGTTGTGCGCATGTATGAGTGTGCATATGGGTAAGTGCATGTGCGTGCGTGTTTGTGTGTGTGTTTGAGTGTGTGTGCGCGCGCGTGTGTGTGTGTATGAGTGGATGTGTGTGAGTGCATATGTATGTGCGTGTGTGTGAGTGCATATGTGTGTGAATGTGCGTGTGTGTATGAGTGTGCATGTGTGTGTGTTTGAGCATGTGTGTGTATGAGTGTGCATATGGGTAAGTGTGTGTGTGCCTGTGTGTGTTTGAGCGTGTGTGTTTGTGTGAGCGTGTGCATGTGTGTGTACACACGTGTGCGTGCTCGTGAGCATGGTGGGCTTTGGCTGCTCTCCTAGCGTGTTCAGGCTGTGCTTTAACATCCAGGCATCACACTGGGAAGGCCCTGAAAGGTCGCAGAGCCTGATCCTGGCGGGGTCCTCCTGCCCTTGGGCCGTGACCGCCGCCCCAGGCTCCGCTGCTTTTCTGCGCTGTTTGTTTTCCTGCTGCTCGTGCAGTAGTGGGGTTTTGAGATCCTAGGTTGTGGCCTCCAGACCTTCCCGCCGCGGCGGGGTGGCGGGGTTGTCTCTGCTGACGGCTGCTTCTTCTCGTTTCCAGTTACCTGAGGCCGGAGACCGCCCAGGGCATCTTCCTCAACTTCAAGCGGCTTTTGGAATTCAACCAGGGAAAGCTGCCCTTCGCCGCTGCCCAGATCGGCAGCTCCTTCCGCAACGAGATCTCCCCGCGATCAGGACTGATCCGAGTCAGGTACTGCTTGCTGCCTGGTCCTCTCCGCGCCCGGCAGGGGACACGTGGAGCGAGTGCTGGGGGATGCCCCCCTGCTCTTCCCGCATGGGGCTGTTGGCACCTCGCAGGAGGCGGCACGGGCAGCACAGCGCCGAGGGAGGCAGTCGTGGCGGCTCCGCGTGGACCCAGAGCCCAGGCCGATGCCAGAGGAAGGAGCGCTGTGCACGCGTGGCCTCCCTCGGTCCTCCCCGCCGCTGTTATTTTTTGTTAAATGGATTTTTGTCGGTGATTTCCCCTCTGCCTGCCCTCCCCCGGGAACCATCCCTTATAGCAAATACCTTGTTTTAAAAGAGAAAAAGAGGGGGCGGGGCCAAGCAGTCCACTGTCTCTGCTCCGTGGCACCCCACTACGCCTCCCGCCAGGCAGGCGCTGTCGTGGGCTGCAGGAGGCAACGGCGCCACCGACCAGCAGCAGACGCTCGTCTGGTTTCGTGCCGGGCAGGGCCCAGGGCTGTCTGAGGTTTGGTTAGCACTCCTGCTCTGCTCTTTAGAGATGACGCTCCAAGAGCCATGAGCCTTCATTAAGCGAGGACCCAGGCACAAAGCTGCTGGGGGACACATCATAGCGCTGCACACAGTAAGCGCTTACTAGATGCTGGATCAGTGCGCGAGCCCGAAGATCCGTTTGAGTAAATGTGGGCTTGGAAGGAAGAATCAGGCGCCTCCTGTGTGCTGGCCACTGTGCCATGAGCCGTGCAGGCACTACCTCGTGTGATGCTTACAGTGACCCGAGGGGGGGTGCTATTGTGGGCACCCCATTTTTCAGGTGGGGAAATCAAGGCAGACAGATGTTCAGTGACTTGGCCAGACTCAAACCTCTAGGAAGTGTCTGAGGCTGGATTTGAACTCGGGGCTTCTTGGCCGTGTGCCTTGTGGCACCCCCATCTGCCTCTAACACGCGAATGAGAGCTGTGAGTCAAAGAATTCCTTAGAGAAGCCTCCCTCAGCCCCGGGGTCTTTGGCAGATGGCGACCACGTGCTGGCCCCAGAACCTCTCTGGGTTCTAGGCTGGTTCTCTAGCTCTTTCCTCCCCCTCTGCCGGCCTGTCCTCTGGGAACCCTCGTGGTCAGCCGGGCGGTGCCAAGATCCAGGCCATTCTTGGGGAGGACGACGACGCTAATGGAACCAAAGAGCAGCTCCTGCCTTTGTTCTCAAGTCCACAGAGACGTTGTCATGGGGAGCTTCGTCTCTTTATCTTCATTGATGACGTGGGGGCCACTGTGGGCTTCCACGGGTCACAGAGCATGGGGCGTGGAGGTGGGAAGACCTGAGTTCAGATTCCACCTCAGACCCTTCCTAGCTGGATGACCTTGGGCGAGTCACTTCTCCTCTGCCTCAGTTTCCTTATCTGTAAAATAGGGGATAATAACAGTACTGACCTCCCAGGGTTGTTTGAGGATCAAATGAGATGATATCGTAAAACGCCCAGCATAGTGCACATAGTAGGCACCATAAAGTGCTCAGCACAGGGACCGGCACATAGTAGGCACCATAAAGTGCTCAGCACAGGGGCTGGCACATAGTAGGCACCATAAAGCGCCCAGCACAGGGACCGGCACATAGTAGGCACCATAAAGCGCTCAGCACAGGGACCGGCACATTGTAGGCACCATAAAGCGCTCAGCACAGGGACTGGCACATAGTAGGCACCATAGAGTGTAAGCTGCTATGATGCTGATGATGGTGATTCATATCACTACCTAAAACTTGAAGGAAGCTGTCTAGAATGAGCCCTTGGGCTGTGACCCTTTCACATTCTCTGTGGCCTCTCTCTGGGCCGTGCCCAGTTGTTTTTGTGGGAGGCGGTTATGGCAGTGGTCTTTGGGGCAGGTGGTGATTCATTTCTGAACAGCTCTTGTCTTGCCAAGCCCTTTTTTGGCCGTCACCTGAGGAGGTCAGCGTTTCCCTGTTAGCAGCATCGGGGCCCTGCGGGGCCGTGCTAGTCATGATCGTGGGGTGGGGGGGAGCGTCTGATTGTTTTAGAAATGGAAGACTTCCTCTAATACAGATGTGTTAGACTTTGGCCCTTGGTTTTAGAGAGTTCACGATGGCCGAGATCGAGCACTTTGTCGACCCCAAGGAGAAACACCACCCTAAGTTTGACAGCGTGGCGGACCTCACCATCTCCCTGTATTCAGCAAGAGCCCAGGTCAGCGGCCAGTCTGCACACAAGATGCGCCTCGGGGATGCGGTGGAGCAGGTAAGGAGGGGCGTCCTACCCGCTTTCCTGCCAGCAGGGGCTGGGGCTCCTTCCACGCCGAAGCCCTCCATCTTACCTTGGGTCTCCTTAGGCATTTGGGGCTTGGCAGGGAGAGAAGATCCCGGCCTTTTGCATGTATGGGTTGATGGGAGAGTGACTGATGAAAACACTGGAATTTGGGATCTGCCCCACGGGTGGAGATTCTGCTGAGGACAGAAGCCACAGAAAGGCTGGATCCAAGCCTGGGGGCTGTGTATCCCTGTGAGTGACTGTTTCTGAAAGCTGGCTCTGCTGGATGGATCCCATGACTGGGCTGGCCTCCTTCTCTCCCACCAGACACAGCCGTGCCCTGGCTGGGGCTGCTCCCTGAGGCTGAGCTTTGGCCAGCCGGGTGCCAGGCCCGGTAGGATCCTGGGGCACTTTGCCATCGTGATGCCCTCTTGCAAAGAAAGAGTCTCATTTTCAGACAATTGGAGGAAACACTTTCAATAACCGGGGATGGCGTATTGTGTCTGCAGGTGCCTCGGTTCTGAGGCCTGTCGTGGAAGCTGGCGGCTAGAGATGCGGGAGTCCTGCCCATTCTTTGTAGCGGTTCCTAATCTTGCTGCGCAGATTTCCCGGGGGGGGCGGGGAGCGGCTCCAGGCGTCAGCCCCCAAGCATGCATTCAGCTCTTGCTCTGCCAGGCGCTGCTCGAGGCGCTAGGGACCCAGAGACAGGGAGACGGTGCCTGCCCGCGGGGAGATGGCATGGCCCTGTGTGAGGAGGCCGTGCAGAGGAGAGGCAAGGGAGTCGTTGGGGAGGGAGTGGACGAGGTAGCCCCGAGGGCCCGAGACAACTGGGCCCTTAGTGAGCGAGGGAAGCACGTGGGACGTCGGTCTTCTAGGAGCAAAGTCTTAGAATCCATTCGTCCCTGTTGGAGGGCTGTTCACCCAGCACTTATTGGAGTGCCTCCTGTCAGCTGCACGGAGTACTCAGATGCCAGTTTGAAGGAAGAAAACCTGTTGAAAAGCAGATTTCCATCTTCGTTCCGCTCCTAGTGGTGCCGTGCGCGGAGCGAGGGACTGCGGAGAGGGGCGCTCCGGCTGCACTGACCCTCCTGTCTCTGTTCTCTCCAGGGGGTGATCAACAACTCCGTGCTGGGGTATTTCATCGGCCGCATCTACCTCTACCTCACCAAGGTCGGGGTGTCACCAGAGAAGCTTCGATTCCGGCAGCACATGGACAACGAGATGGCGCATTACGCTTGCGACTGTTGGGACGCCGAGGCTAAGACGTCCTACGTAAGTGGAACGAGAAGACCGCGAGGGGGGCGGGCGGCGGCAGTCACTGAGCTGCCACGGGTCAACGTGGCGAGGAGGCTGGACTCAGCTCTGTGGTGCTCTCAGGTTGCTGGCTCCCTGAGAGCACCTCGAGTCGGGCCTCGAATTGGAGTAGGCACGTGAATACTCGTGGAAGGAATTCAGTGCATTTAAGACAAAACATAGATCATGACAGCTGTGAAAATGGAGCAGTCTTCCTAGTAGGAATCCTCCAAACTTGTGGAAAGGACCGGAGCTGGAGCCCTGATCCGATGTGGCGCCGTGATCCCGGGTGGCTCAGTGCTGACCTGAGCCAGGCCCGTTCTGCCGTTTTCCCAAGGATTCCACGAAAGGGGTCCATCCCAGCCATCAGCCAGCAGGCTTCAGTCAAGCCCCTACTCTGTGCTGGGCCCTGGCGTTCTCCCCTCATTCTTGTTAGGGCAGACATCACGCGCTTTGGTTGACCAGAGATTGAAGGGTGTGTGGTGGGCGGCAGAGGGGCTTCAGGAGTAGAGGGGGCAGCAGTAGGTTTCTGAGAAAGTTAGGGTTTCTTCCTAACCTGTTTTGAGTGCTGTATTTACGGATCATTTTAAAAACCCAGTCCCACCCATTCTTTAGTTCACTTTCATTACAGAAATGAAAGTAACACCATCCATCCTGATTCTCTTTTGAGGCAATGAGTGATTCCTCTGTTAAAATTTAGTGACCTCGAGTCTGGAGACCCGTCTCTGGCCTGCCTGTGCTTCAGTGATCCGTAGCTTCACTCCCTTCACCGATGCACATTGCTACCCCTTGGTCATTTTGTTGGAGAGGGTCTGTAAGCAGGGCGACGGCCTGGTCGCAGTCTGCCGCCTTTACGGGGCCTCGGGACAGGCCTCCAGAAGTCTTGGTTACTAGGCCCATTGCCACGCAGAGCCGCCAAGGACGGGCACATCTTGGTGCATTCTGGCTGACCCCCCCAGCGCCATAGTCTGGGCCCTCTGGAGGCCTGAGAGCAGGTTTGGGGCCAGCTCTCGGTGGGTGTGGGAGGTTATGCAGCTCTGTGATGCCTTTTCCAACTTAAAACATATTTGCAAACTTAGGGCTGAATCATCAGGATGGCATAACTAATTGGAGTTCCCTTGTCACTGTGCCTCAGCACATCTGGTGAAAGGAGACCAGAGGCAGAGTGGAGATTTCTTTTGTCTTTAAAGTCTACTCTTCATTCATTTGTTTAGCGTTCAAGTTTTAAAATCTGGAGTTCCGAATTCTTTCCCTCCCCCACCCATTGAGAAGGCAAGCAGTGTGTTAACGATTGTGATGTGAAATCATTTCCACATTAACCATGTTGCAAAACACCCCCAAAAGCTCGAAAGTGAACCCCGTCTGCTTCTGTCTGCTCGCAGCCTGTCAGTTCTCTGGATGGCGGACGGCATGATCCGAGTGGTTGCGTCTGTGCGGCGGCTCTTCCTACAGTAGTGTTGGTTCTGCTTGTCACTCACGAGTCTTCCACCCTCCACCCCCTTCATCTTTTCTTGTAGTCCCAGCTTGTTCAGCTGTTCCCCCGTATTGGGGCATCCCCTCAGTTTCCAGTTCTTTGCCGCCTCAAAAAGAGCTGCTGTAAATATTTTTGTACATGTGGGTCCTTTTCCTTTTCCTTTGGTCTCTTTGGGATACAGACCTAGCAGTGGTGTTGCTGGGTCACAGATTCTGCCCAGTTTATAGCCCTCTGGGCATAGTTCCAAATTGCTTTCCAGAATGGTGGGATCAGTTCTCAACTCCACCAGCAATGCGTTAGTGTCCCAGTTTTCCTCCATCCCCTCCAACATCAGCTTTACTCCTTTCTGTCCTGTCAGCCAGTCTGGTGGGTGTGAGGTGATGCCTCAGAGTTGTTTTAGTTTGATTTCTCCAATCAGTAGTGATTTAGAGCACTTTTCACGTGGCTGTTGATAGCTTCGATTTCCTTGTCTGAAATCGGCTCGTCGGTGTCCTTTGACCATTGATCAGCTGGGGAATGGCAGAGATTTCTGACCCTTCTCTCCTAGGGCTGGATTGAGATCGTTGGCTGCGCCGACCGCTCCTGCTATGACCTCACTTGCCACTCGAAGGCGACCAAAGTCCTGCTGGTGGCGGAGAAGCTGCTCAAGGAGCCCATATCCTTTCTGTTGTGGCCTCCACCGCGGCACGGGCTGAGGAGAGGGGGCTTAGCTGGCCTGGGATGGACTGCTCCTCTTTCCCCATCCGCTGTGGAAGTTTGTGAGCACTTAGTGTGTCCTGGGTACCTGGCACTGTGTTAGGCTCTGGGGGTACCAGGGCATAAAGGAAGCCAGCCGGGGGCACCCAGAACATTCATCCAGGAAATAAAGTGGGATTCTTGTTTTCTTGTTGGGGCTGGGGGAGATGGACTGCCTGTAGGAGGTGGTGTCTGGGCAGAATGAGGACCAGAGGGTGCACCCTGGACATAGAGGACAGACTGTGCACAAGCATGGAGGTGGGAGATGAGTGTTGTGTATGGAGACCCACAAGTAGGTGGGATGGACTGGTGTGTGAAGTGTGTGGAAGAGGTGGATGTGCAGTGGGCCTGGAATGTGCCAGATCACAAAGGGCCTGAAAAACTGACAGAGAAAGCTGAGGGCCACGCTGATGGGAAGTGGTGGGAGCGGATAGGGGAGTGGCGCGGAGAGCGGATTGGGGAGTGGTGCGGAGAGCGGATTGGGATGCCAGGGTCTGGCTTTTAGGACAAGCGCCTTTCCCTGCATTTGGGTCCGGGCAGGAAAGCGGCATGCTATGCTTTGGGGACTCCGGGGGCCACTCCCCTGCAAGGTCTGGACTCAGCGCTTCTCTTGGTGGGGATAGTGGCACGGGCTCAGGTTGGCCCTCTGTCTTCCCTCCCTTGGCCTTTGAAGAAACAAAATGGTGAGGACAGGCAGACCTCGTGGAGGACAAAGAACAGATTCTATTAGGTGATGCCTCCTGGTCGGTGCGCGTGTCTGGCTTCCTTGACTGCCTCTCACAGAACGGTGAATGTGGTTCAGTTTGAGTCGAGCAAGGCTGCCATTGGCAGGGCCTACAAGAAGGACGCCCGGCTTGTCCTGGACTATCTGGCTGCCTGCGACGAGGTCTACGTCACCGAGATGGAGAACCTGCTCAGTGAGAAGGGGTGAGCACGGGCTCAGGCTGCGTCCTGAAGGGGCCTGCCTTGGCCAGCGGCCTCGGGTATGGGGAGCAGGAGAGGACCGGATGTGGGGGGGACATCCAGGAGATGGGGGAGAACCGGGGGGGGACACCCTGGAGATGGGGGAGAACCGGGG